GGCCCCCGAAGGGTTAATGCTATTGTCTGAAAACCACATCAGCTCCCCTGGGAGCTTGGAGATCCTGCTCTCATTTTAAGTAACCCTAACTCCGTGTGTGATGAGCGAGGGCCGCTGGGCGAGGAGTGCGCCAGAAGAAGCAGGGGACGGAGCAGGGGACAGCTCTGCACCAAGGTAAGGTACTTGGGTGGCAGGTGTGCAGCTGAGCTGGCCCCCACGCCCCCCAGCTGTGGATCCAGCTGTGGAGCATTCGGGTAGGGGGTTGGCTTGGAGACCGGGCACCATGGGGGTGAGAGCCCCAGGATGGCAGATTTCCCCCGTTGGGTGCGGGACAGCCGCAGAGCCAGGTGCTGGGCCGTCAGGGCGGGAAGAAGCAGGGTCCTCACAGAGACAGCTGGCCTCCTCTCCCCAGATGGGGCACCAGGGGGGTCGGGTGTCCGCTTGCGGCAGCGGGGCGGGGAGGGGGGCGGTTAACGGAGTCTGAGTCAGGCTGGGGCTGAATGGAGGATGGGCTCAGGCTTCCCTGCGCCTGGCCGCCTGTGGCTGCAGCAGCTCCCCGAGCACCACCCACCTGGCTGCGGGTTCAGGACTGACTAAGGGTCTGGGCATCACAACCTGGGTCTGCTGAGAAGCAGGGCGTGGGCAGAGGTCCCGAGGGTGGCAGAGTGACGACCGTGCCCCGACCCGAGCCAGGCTGGGGTGAAGCGGACAGGGCGGATGTGCCTGCGCCCTGTGCCCGCTTGTCTCCCTTCCTCAGACTCCTGGCATCCTTCCCAAGGACTAGAACCAAGAAGGCTGAAGTCTGAGCACCCCTGGGCCCTAGGGCAGGTGGCGGCTCTGCGAGGCTAGAGAGACACAGTTAAGTGATGCCGCTGTCTGTCCCCAGCCCTCCCGAAGGACCAGATGAGAAGGGCCAGGGAGGAGTACAGTGCCCCTGCCGCTCGGCCCCAAGCCCCTTTTTGGCCCTGCTGGGTAGGGGGAGAGGGGCCTCACTCAGCTTGGGGCTCAGTGGAAGTGGAAGTCAGGGTTCACTAGGACTGAGGTGAGGGCACGGGTTGAGGCAGAGGCTGCAGGTGAACTGGGATGGGGGGGCGTCCGAATGTGGAAGCCCCCACTGGCGGGCGAGGTCCCGAAGCCCCGTCCCTGTCTGCTCAGACCCAGCTGCCAGAGCCCCAGCTTAGCATTCAGCTGGGAGCTTTCACTTCCTCAGGCAGGCCGGGCTCCTCAGCCAACTCAGCACCGGCTGGAGGGGATTTCTTGTCCCCGTGTGGGGGGGGTACAGAGGGAAGGACCGGGGATGTCCAGACAGGGGGATCCCCAGGATACAGCTGCCTGCCGGGAATGAGGTGGAAGGAACCAGGGCTGGGGTAGCCCCGGGGAGGGGTGCAGCACCAAAAGGCTTGTGTAAGGCAGAGGCAGGCGTGCAAGGGGGTTGCAGGTGCCCAGGGGCCAGGGAGCTAGGGGCCTGCATTCTGTGCATGGGTGAGAGACAGGAGCAGGACAGGGACAGAGGCAGGCGGCAGGGCACATGTGAGAAGTAAAGACAGAAAAGGAACAGCCTTGAAACCGAGACAGAAGAGGATGGACCACAGAGATGCCGGGGAAGGAAGACTCAAGAAGCCTGGTAGACAGGGGAGTGGAACAGAGGAGAAGAAACTGTAGGAAGCAGGAAATGAGCTGAAGAGGCAAAGGTCAACCCAAGCAAAACAGTGAGGGGTGGGGGCGGGGCTGGGATCCCGCCTCCTGACCCTCAGTGCTCTTCCCCTAACCCTGGGCCTCAGGGCCCGGCCGCCTTCCCCCAATTTCCAGCCGCCAGGCAGGTCTGGGCTGGGGCCCCCGGGATGTCGGGCTTTGCATTTCAAGTCACCCAGCGGCACAAACCCTTTAAAACCCAAGGCCCCCAGAGACGCGGAGACCAGAGGCAGAGGATCTGCAAGGGGCTGGGGCTGGGGGGGCAACGACCTGAGACCTGAGGGCCCTTGGAGGGGGAAGCGGCTGCCTGGGGACCCTCCTGGGGGAGCAGCAAGGAGGGGCGCCTCTCCCAGTTGGGGTGCTGGCTGATGCTCCAGGGGAGAGACGTGGGTTCAGCTGGTGGAGCATGGGGAAGGGCTCCTTGGATTTGGACCTGGCAGGAGGGACAAGATGCCCTGGGGTCTTAGAAAAGAAAGAACATGCATCCCTGCCCCTCCCCCAAATTCCCCAAGGGAAAAGGTGGTTGGGCTGGCCTGCCCCAGCCCCCAGCCCCTCTTGCACTCCCACCTAAGCAGCTTTAGCTAATAGCATTAGGGGAAGTCTCAGGACTACCTACTCTCCACTTGGGGCTGAGATCAAGGGGACAGACCAGAGGCTTCTAATCAGATTGGGGATTTGGCGGAGGGGTGGGGGGTGCTGAGCCCCTGGAAGCTGTCATCTCTGTGCTTCTACTGTCCCCCTCTGGGCTGGTCTCCCCACCGTGACCTTTCCCTCCCGGCCTGTGTCCACAGCCCACGGTCCCCACAGCCGGCTCTCTCACTGCTCCCCCACTCTCTCTGTGGCTCCCCCCCCCCCCCCCCCCCCCGTCGGTCAGGGAGGGACTCTCGGAGAGGACCCAGTAGAGGTCAATCACGAGAGTCTGCAGTCAATCCAGGCCACCCTCTTAGAAGGCCCAACAACAAAGTCACTTTTGACGAAAAAAGTTTTGCTTATCAGATAGGTAGGCAGCATTGGTCTTAAACTCTCAATTCTTTCTTTTTCTTTTTTTTTTCTTTATTCTGAATGTGTCCCTGTGTTTTTTCGATCCTCTCATCTTACTGTGCGTCCCCCCCTCCCCGCCCCCCTGACTGATCACAGCCCAGAGCACGGAGTCAGACCTGTTCCAGGCCCGCTCTTCCACCTACCCCGGGATCTTAGGCAAGTCTCCTTACTCTTCCGAGCCTCCATTTCCTCTGCTGGTACAAGGGGGGACATGCATGGCCACCACGTCAGAGGGTTATTGTGAGGATCCAGTGCAGTAAGTAGCACGGGGGAAAATATGAAGCCCCACGTGGGCAGGATAGGGGCCCAATTCACATTAACTCAAGTCTTAAGAAGATAAGATCTTCTTCGGACATTTCCTTTGGCTGCAAGCCCCAGCATAAGGCTTACTCTCTCCTGTTTGCAGCATTTTCTGTGCTGCTTTATTAAATCGTGACCTAAACCCTACATGTGTTGTAATGAGCACTTGTACCAGCCAAGAAGGCTTCTGTTCTTCAGCAGAACACTGGTGGCCGGACAAGAATAGTTGCTCACTGCTATAACCCTTCAAACAACACAAAGCGCTTCAGAGCAGCGGCGCTGATCATTCCGGATTAGGTTATGACCCTTTCTGATTTACAGTTTTCCACGCTGGCCCCCTCAGAGCCCTCTGTACCCGGAGCCCTAGGAGCTGTGGGAGCCTGGCCCGGCCCCACAAGCCCTGCACTGCGGGCTGGGCTCCTATGCAGGAGGGAGGGGGCTGGGGGCCTGGGGTGGAGGGCTGGGGGACAGAGTGGGACAGCCTCCCTCAGCCCCAGGAGCATCACCACCGGAGCGTAGGGTAAAGCAGAGCACCAAGAATTGGGGTGAAACGCCAAGAGTGAAGGGAGAGGGTGGGTCAGCTCCTCAGGGCTCCAGCACAAAAGGAAGGGCTCAAGGGGAAACGTCTGGCAGGAGGACTTCCACATCCAAGCGGCAAGCTCCTCTAAGATGTGGGGGTCCCGGAGGGACTCCCACAAACGGGGGGAAGGCTGGATAAATGGGGAGGGGCAGGGAGTAGGGCTTGACCCCCACTACTGATGCCACTTTGGTTTTTACATTTGGGGTTTTTTCCCTTTGGAGGCCAGACAGGGAGTGTTGGCAACCTACCTGGGTGGCAGAAATTATACTTCTTGAATTAAGGTCTTGCTTTCCATTCTTTCCCTTAAGAGCTGTGTGGCCTCAGAGAATTTCCTCGATCCCTCTCAGCTCCATCTTCTGGAATACTTCTGGTGAGGTTTCTGGGTATGTCAGTTCCTGGGCAGGGTGCATGGTGCACTGAGGATCTGCTCCCGTGTGGGTTTATCATTCTCCTCTCGCCAGATCCTAGATCTACCCTGGTCTCAAATCCTCCAGACCAGGAGATACCGTCAGAACCTGGGGCAGGGGGCCGCTGTGGGAATTCCAGCAGCTCCCTCCAAGGAGGAACAGTCCTCCCTTGGGACCTCCCACCTCTGCACCCCTCCCTGCACCTTCCCCCCACTTTCCAACCCACTTGGGGTTAGACAGGAGGAATTTCCCAGTGGATAAGGCCAGAAAGGAAGGTAGGAGTGGGGATGGCTGCTTCAAGGGAAGAAAGAAGAGGAAGTCCCAGAATGTCAGCTGGCAGAGGGAATGGGGGTGGGGGGGAGCCTACTCCCAGGCTCCAGGTGACGGTGGACACACTGCGGACCCCCAGAAGCAGCTGCCCCTGAGAAGCTGCCGGTTTGTCAGCTGTCAGCTGACCCCCTGGGAAAGGAAGAGCAGGAGACCCGATGACCTCTGGTGGGGGTGGGGGGTTGCTGGGAGGGTCTCACCAGCCCAGTTGTCCTGCCTCCCCCACCTCTTTCTGCTCTGTCCCACCAGTTCTTGCTACTCCAAGCAGGGTCCATGGACTTAGGAGCTTGTTAGCAATGCAGAATTTCAGGCATCACCAAGTCCACAGCATCAGAATCTGCATTTTGGAGAGATTCTCAGGGGGATCCTTAGGCGCTTTAACAGGTTGGCGTTTGAGAAGCACCGCCATAGACTGTGGTTTGTAAGCCTTAGGAGTGGAGGGATGGTGGCTAAGCCCCAGGTGTCAGTGGCTTTCCTTCTGTGAGCCTCATCTGGAAGGTGCTGGAAGGTGCGGCGGATACTCCAGACAAGCCTTCACATGCCCTCCAGACCTGCCGGCCTAGTAAGTTCTGGCTGAGAGCAGCGCTCACCTCATCCCAACTTCACTCGAGCTGGAAACCCAGAGCCAGGTTACCTGAGCCCATCCCTGTTCACTCACGGTCCTGATTAGGCAGGTACCGCCCACCCCAGGAGCAGGCCCACACCCTGCACCCTGCTCCGTGCTCTGGACACTCTGCCTCTGTGCCCTCTTCCCTCAGTGACGGTGGGAGCCAGCCTGGAGCACCAACCTTGATCCCATCTTCTGAGCCCGGGGTTCAGTAACTCGGCAAAAACCTGTGAGTTGAGGAGCCAGACAGTCAGGGGCCGGCCACTCTGGGGGGAAGGGGGAAGACAGACATCAAACATACACATAAAGGCACCATTGGTAACTTCGTTACCACTCACGGATTCTTCTTCTTTTTTTCTTTTTTTTTTTTTTTTTTTTGATTTTTATTTATTCATTCATGAGAGACACACACAGAGAGAGGCAGAGACACAGACAGAGGGAGAAGCAGGCTCCATGCAAGGAGCCTGACGTGGGACTCGATCCCAGGTCTCCAGGATCACGCCCTGGGCTGAAGGTGGCACTAAACTGCTGAGCCACCCGGCTGCCCACCACTCACGGATTCTATTGCCAATCACTTCTCCAACACCCGCACCATGCCGGGCAAGCACCAGGTGCTGCAGACTCCTGAGTCATGAAGCAAATCCCGGCTATCCCCCAAAACTCAACCGTGTGGGCACCACAGAGCCGGGGTTTGCACCTACCACTTCCTCCCACTCGGGGTTCACCCAGAGCCAATGATTACATTTTCTCTTGGGATAAACTCCAATCCCCTTAAGCCCTGAGCAGAGATCTCATCTGTCTAAACACCCCCCCCCCCCGGAGTGGGGGCAGGATGTAGGACCCTGTGCATTCCTCTCTGGCCATGCAGGGGGCTGCATGGGGGCCTCATGGAGGTCCCCAGAGGAGGCCAGGCCCTGCCCTGGGTGCGGGGAGCTTCCTGCAGTCCCGTGTCCCCTGCCTTTCACCCCTCATGTCTTCCTGCTTCTCTTCCCTTCATTTTTGGCCTCCCGCCTCAGCAGTGACCCTCTCCTTCCGAGGCCCAGACGTGGCCCTCGCTGCCCCAAGAAGACCATGCACTGTGGCTGCGTGGCCGAGGATGCACCTGCCGTCCTGGGCAGCTCCTGGATCTCAGGTGAGCCTCCGCCGGCCCCTCACCCAGCTGCGGAGGGGCAGCCAGGGTCCTCCTGAGCCAGCGGCACCGTGTGGCACTCACCCCTCCCTCCAGGCATGGCCTTCCCCGACTGGGCCTACAAAGCAGAGTCATCCCCGGGCTCCCGGCAGATCCAGCTGTGGCACTTCATCCTAGAGCTGCTGCAGAAGGAGGAGTTCCATCATGTCATCGCCTGGCAGCAGGGAGAGTACGGGGAGTTTGTCATCAAGGATCCAGATGAGGTGGCCCGCCTCTGGGGCCGCAGGAAGTGCAAACCCCAGATGAATTATGACAAGCTGAGCCGGGCCCTCAGGTGAGAAGGGGCAGCCAGGGGGCTGGAGAGGTCAGAGTTTAAAGATGGGGCTGTGGTTGCCAGCACCCCCGTCCCCCGAGGCTTGGGAGAGACCCCGGAGTGTGGCAGGACCCCTGGTGCTTCTGGCCTGGAGGAGGGAGCACGGCTGGGCCTCTGGCTGTGTTCGCTGCCCCCGGGCCAGCTCCATGCTCTCCACCTTGGGCTCCACAGGTATTACTACAATAAGAGGATCCTGCACAAGACCAAAGGCAAGAGGTTCACATATAAGTTCAACTTCAGCAAGTTGATTGTCATCCACCATCCTCTGTGGGAGGTGCGGGCACCGCCTTCCCCCCACTTGTTGCTGGGGGCCCCTGCCCTCTTTCGGCCAGCTCTGGTGCCCATGGGCATGCCCAGTGAGGTAGGCACAAGGGCACTCCTGCCCCTGCCCTAGGAGGCCCCCAGCCCCCTGCCCCCCTGCCTTGGAGCCTGTCAGCTGCCCCATCCTTCTCCCCCTTCTAGTCCCTGAGCGCCCAGGGGCAGGGGTGGGGCCCCTGAATCACCCTGCGTGGTCGAACCACGGTCACATGATGCAGCATGCACCTGGGGGGCAAGAGGGGTTCCTTCCTTGCTAGGTGTCGCTCCTTCAGTGGTGGATCACAAGGTGGGGGGGAGCCTCGGAGGGACCTTGGGCATCTGGGCAGTGGTCATGTAACAATCATCATGAGAATGTTTCATTGTTTTACAAGTGGTTTTTGAGGCAGCGTGAGCGGGGGAACCCAGGCGGGTCCATCCCACTCCCATGCTAGCTTCTCACTCGGCAGCTCCTGCACAGCATGTTGTTTGCCCGTCATGTTGGACAGGAGACCCCCCGAGGGCTGCCAGAGGCCACTGAGGACAAGAAGGGGAGCGGCGGCAGTGCCCCTCGTGAGTGCTTGGAACTGGGGGAGCCCCAGGGAATCAGAAGCAGGGGCGGGATGACCTGCCAGGCAGAGTGCATGGGTGGGAGGCTGGAGAGAAGGGATAATACAAACCATTCATCCTCAACAAAGCGAGTACCAGCTATTTCCTAGGTGTGGGGTTCAGACAGTCAGTGACTGGTGGAATGCAGAGGAGCAGGTGTCCCGGAGAAGGCTGCCCCTGGGCTGGTGAAGCAGGTGCAGAAAGCGCCCAGCAAAGGGAATAGTGTAAAGCAGAGAGTTGGGGACACCTTCGGCTCAGGGTGTGATCCCAAGGTCCTGGGATCCAGTCCCACATCAGGCTCTGTGGGGAGCCTGCTTCTCCTCTACCTCTGCCTATGTCTCTGGCTCTCTCTCTGCATCTCTCATTAATAAATAAAATCTTTTCTTTTAAGATTTTTTATTTATTTATTCATGAGAGACAGAGAGAGAGGCAGAGACACAGGCAGAGGGAGAAGAAGGCTCCATGCAAGGAACCTGATGTGGGACTCGATCCCGGGTCTCCAGGATCACGCCCTGGGCCAAAGACAGGCACCAAACCGCTGAGCCACCCAGGGATCCCCAATAAATAAAATCTTATTTTTTTTAAAGATTTTATTTATTTATCCATGAGAGACACACAGAGAGGGAGAGACATAGGAAGAGGGAGAAGAAGCAGGCTCCATGGAGAGAGACTGATGTGGGACTCGATCCAAGGACCCCGGAATCACGCCCTGAGCCAAAGGCAGACGCTCAACTGCTGCACCACCCAGGCGTCCCTAAATAAAATCTTAAAAAAAAAAGCTGACAGCTGTGGGCAAGTGTAGCAAAGCTGAAGGACCACTGGTGGCTTGCCATGTTCAGAGAGGAAGGGATGTGACAGGCATGGGGACAGGCAGGAGGGGTGGCAGGTGAAGCTGACAAAGCAGCAGGTGTCCAGTCACAGAGGGCTCGGAAGCCCCTCTTGCCCCCCAGGTGAGAGGTTGAACTTTACCCCATGGACAGGAGGCACCCAGGAAAGAGGTACGTTGAGATTTTCATGTCACAAAGATGACTTGGTTGTATAGAGAATTTGGTTTGGAGGAGGTGCGTGGCTGGTACTGGCAGGATTGGGAAGATCTTCCAGGCAGAAGAGGGAGGGAGGAGAGCCTGGCAAGCAGAGAGAATGGTGTGTGCAAAGGCCCTGGGGCAGGAAGAAGGTTGTGGGAAAGGCCAGCATGGCAGCTCTAGCAATCCTGTGGGGAGACTGTGGAAACGTTGGCAGAGGCCAGCTCTCCCAGGGCTGTAAATAGGAAAGTGACAAAATCAGATTCTCTGTGAAGAAGGTCACAGAGACACTTGAGCAGCCCGAGGCTTGATACAGAGGTCCCAGACCTACCACCGCTCCTCTCCAGGCCGTTTCATGGGATAAAGACCCTTGTCCTTTGCCCTACCCCCGTGTAGGTAGCTGGGAGCCCAGAGGGCCTGGCTGTGGGCCCTGGAGGGCCTCTGAGGCTGCAGGTTAGGGCAGCCCAGGGCATGCCTGGACTTGCAGGGCCACTGGTCTGCCCCTGGAGCTAGACAGAGCCTGCACAGGCACCCCTGTTCTTTCAGCCCTGCCCACCCTCCTGGCTCTGGGAAAGGCCTTGGGCACCGAGCTCTCTCTTTGGGAAGCCATGAAGCCATGTGTCCCCAGTAAGCGCCCCCCCCCCCCGCCCGGAGTGGGCTATTGGCACCTCCCTGCCCACTATGGGTTGCACACACATGCCCTGCCTGGCTTCAGTCACCGGAAGGCTAGTGACAGCCCTGCCTGGGTTGGGGTCCAGAAAGCTAGAGGAGCCTGTCCCCTCCACGTCCACTCAGAGCACTGATGTGGAGAGAGGAAGCTGCTCCTGGGCTGAAGAGGGGCCAAGGCTGTTGAACCAGAGGTGGCAGGTGCGGGGCTGGTGCTGGGAAGCGAGGAAGAGACAGAAGGACTCTGGGAGCCATCCCTACAGGATCTGCTCAGCCGCGCTCCAAGGGCAGACCAGCCACAGCCTGGGGAGCCCCCAGGACACAGAGTCCTGGATGGACCCGAAGGGAAGGACAGTGACCCGGGGAGGGCACCCTTTGCCTCAAGCAGGACCATGTCTACTGTTTCCCCTTCAGAGATCCCGCTTCAGAAACATTGTTCCTTTCAAATATACTGGATGTGTTAAGTGATAATGAATTCATTTTTCCAGTTTTTATTAACTAGTCCTTCCCACCACCCCCTGACAGATGTGATTGCCTTGCTCTTTGGTCAAAAGATGTGGCCTTGCTAAGAAAGGACCTGGAGAGATGGGAATTGGGCCTTTGGAAATAAAGACAGTGGTGTGAGGTTCCACTGGTCACCTTGGGCCCCAGACCAGGGCGGGTCACCCCACTGCAGGATGCTTGCGGAGAAGGAGGGCAGGGGGGGCATGAGGGGGGATGGAGGGCAGATCTGGAAGGAGGGGTGGGGAAGGCTCCTAGGGGAGCAGAGCCAGGGCCCAGCCAGCCTGAGAAGGGCAAGGCGGGTCCCCACGCACTGGCCTTGTCACTTCATCCTACAGGGCAGGGGCCCTGCACCCTAGGGGGGCCAGCACAGGGACAAGCTTGGGGCCTCGACTAGAGTGAAGACAGGATTCACAAGTTACAACAAACCCTGTCTTCATCGAAGTTGTGTTATGAGCTCCTGATAAGCGCCAGGTGGGGCTGGGTTCAGGGAGATGGAGACGGGCAGGGGTCTTGTCCCTCAGAGCTGGGGGTGACCACACCAACGGCCCCCCTCAACCGGGCCAAGGGCCCCTGGGGGGCACACCCAGGCCGCCTGAGTCTTGTGACCTCCCCTAGGAAATAGACTGGAAGCAAAGAAAACAGGAAGGTGCACATGGGGAGAGGAGAAGGAAATGGGACTTGGGTGGACATGCGGGGCATCCCTCCTGATCCTCTCTCTCTCTCTCTCTCTCTCTCTCTCTCTCTCTCTCTCTCTCTCTCTCCAGGCCTTGGCTCTCTCCTGGCCCCCTGCCAGCTTGGCCCTTGCTGCCTTCTGGGGAGCCCCCAAGACGAGCTGCCTGGCCTTGCTGCCTTCACCCCTCCCCTCCTGCCCCCCCTCCCTTCTGACTGGACCCGCCTCTCAGGGCCCTTCCTGCCCCCTGTTCCCCTGGAGCAGCCATTCCCGGGGGCCCCCAAGCCAGACTCCCTGTTCCCAGGGCCTGGGTGCCCCCCAGTGACCCACCATTTCTCGGGGCTCACCCTGTTGGCTGGGCTGGGCCCAGGAGCAGGCGAGAGGCTGCGGTTCCTGTCACTGAGGCCACAGTGGCTTGGGGTCAAGCCTGACCCCCTGATGGGGGCGAAGGGACGCCCGAGTCCCAGGGACGGCTTCTCCTCAGACATACATGGACCCAAAACAGGGGACAAATACCCTGTATCCCCCCACTTGGAGAACTGCAGGGCAGTGTGGCCCCTGGATCCTCCTTAGGTGGGGAGATGGGAAGTGGGAGTCCCCTAAACTCCACCCCTCTTCCCCCTCTTCCTGTCTACTTTCTCTCTGGCTTTGTGCCTGGCCAGGTTTAAACTGCAGGAGGCTTTGAAAGGGTAGAGCCAAATAAAAAGGGGTGAGGATATCGCAGGGGTAAGGAAGACTGAGGTGGGGGGCTCCCCTCCCTTCCCCTCTCCTGCTCTCCCCTCCCCTCTCCTCCCATGGAATTGTTCATCAGATGAAGGAGACTGGCCTAATCTCCACTTTCTTTGAGGGAGCCGGGAATAAGGGGCCCTTGCCTGAAGCAACACCCCCCACCCCTGCTTATTCCCTTGCCTGAAGCAACACCCCCCACCCTTGCCCTCAGGAGGGAGATGATGGGCGTCTGGGTTGGGAGGCCAGGAGCCCAGACTCCAGTGTCTCTCCTGCCCCTCCACGCACACATCCCCAGCAGCTCCTGTCTGGGGTGGGTGCTTCCTTCTGTCTCCGTTCCTCTGAGACCCGGGGAGGGGGACAGGGAGGGACTGGCCTCCTCAGATCTATAATTCTGTGCTGTGGAATAAAGGGAATAAAACACCATCAACAAACTGCCCTCTTGGCTGACCACTCCTGCCGCATGCCTCCCATGCCCCGATCTGCCGTGGGGTGAAACACCACTGAAGTCCTCGAGGAGGAGGGCTGCCGGCATCCCCCAGAGAGAGAGGTTGAAAGAGGCAGTGGCGAGGAACTGCCCCAGCCATGTGGGAGATGACGCCTTCCCAAAATGACCCTCAGATCCCTTGGAGCAGAGTCCAAGGGGCTGGGAGTGAAGCAGGGCCTCTCAGAGTCACCTTCCTCTCTCCCCTGGTTCCCAGAATGTGGCTGGGGAGGGAGACACATGAGAGAGAGGTGTTTGCTCAACAAGTGAAAAGCCAATGGGGGAGAATGTTCCAGAAGCCAAGATGAGTGAACCAAATTGCTCTCCTGCATGTGGGTTGCCAATCACAGGTTTAGGACTTGTGTCTACTTCCCTTCTAGGATGTGGAGCGGGATCTAAGGAGGCACAGAGGCCCCATCCCTCATCCAAGGAGTAGGTGTATGCACCCCACCCCCCCACCCCCCGCCCCAGGCTGGGGGCACGGCAAGCATCTTGCTCTCTGCGGCCTCCTTCTTCATAGCAGCTGTGTGGTTGTCACAAAGGCGACACTGACACCCAAAAGGTGAAGAAGGAGAGGCTCAGGGCAGGGTGGGGTTAGGCCCTCACCCCACAGAGAGGTTGGGATGAGCAGGGAGCCAGTCCCTGGGCTTGCAGGCTGGATATTGGCCAAGGAGCATGGTCTCCACCTCCCTCCCTCTCCAGATGCCTCGGGGTCTCCCTCCCAGGAGACCGGCTGCTTCTCACTTGCTCCCAAAGCCACAGGCCTATCTGCAGCCTGTGGGAAGGAGGAACCCCTGGGCCAGGGTGCCCCTCATCCTGCCCGGTTGGGAGACAAAGAGCTAATGCCGTCCCTTGGGCATAAGGAACAGGCTCACAGAGTCCTGAGCCTGGGTCCTGTTCAGAGAGCCCACCCCAGGGACAGGGTCCCCATCTGGAGACCTCCCCCCCCCTCTGCCTCAGCCCCACCCCCCTGCCATGGTTCCTGGCAGCTGTGAACTGGAGTTTCAAACTGAAAAAAAAAAAAAAAAAATCCCCCTCCGAGGTGGGTGCACCCAGGACACGGACAGGTCAGCTCCAGGAGACAGAGGCTTCCGGGCAGCGCGCTCTGTGGTCAAGCAGTTTCTCAGCCTTGGCACCACTGCCCCCAGGGGCATTGTGTTGGCTGTGGGAGCTGTCCCGTGCCATCCCAGGATGCTTAGTGCATGCATTCCTGGCCTCCAGAAGTCACCTCCCACCCCAGCAGACTGTGAACTGTCCCTGGGGGAGGAAACGGCCCGGCTTGAGAATCACTCAAGTAGAGAGGGTGGCTTCTGCAATGGCCAGCCACACGCAAAGTCCTGGGGGTTCCACGTCATGACAGTGCCCTCTAGTGGCCAGAGCCTCCCCCGGCAGCGCACTCGCTCCCCGCAGGACCCTGGTGGGGGTGAGTTTGAGGGGAAGGGTGACAGGCACCCTGGGGTATTCTCAGGTGAGGAAGGGCGTTCCAGGACAAAAACGCTTTATGAAACATTCCATTTCAAACCCCTTTTCCAAATCACGGACAAGCCACCAAAGGGTCCACAGGTCTGTGAGCACAGACAGCAGGTTACCAGCTCCCCTGGGACAACCGAGTGCAGTCATCAGCCCTGGACACCACATCCCCCAGCTGCCCGGCTGCCCGAGGCCGTCAGCCTCACCCAGTGAGGGGCACAGAGTGGATACTCAGCCTCCCCGCCCCCAGAGCAGCAGAACCAAGACAAGACATGCAAAGTCAGTGCACCGACGAGCCCAGCTCCCAGGCACTCCGGCACTCCAAAGACAGGAACACTCGTGGGTTCAAGCAGAGTTTTTGAAAGTCATGCACCCAGGTTTCATGAACTTTAGACTGTTGGGATCAGAGGGACCTCTGTGGTCATGGTCCACAGGGAGGAAGGGGCTTTCCAAAGTGACACGTGGGGAAGGGCCACATGTAGAACGGGGGTGCTCCGGTGAGCAGGGAGTCTTCTCTCCACCTCTCCATAATCATGTGGACTGAGAGCCTAAGAGGCCCTCAAGCTCCTGAGAAATAAGAGTATATTACATATCGAGAGGGAAATTTCCTGCTATTCCCATGAGGTTTTTTTTTTTTAAGATTTTATTTATTTATTCATGAGACGCGCACGCGCGCGCACACACACACACACACACACACACACAGGCAGAGACACAGGCAGAGGGAGAAGCAGGCTCCATGCAGGGAGCCCGATGTGGGACTCGATCCCAGGACTCCAGGATCCCGCCCTGGACCAAAGGCGGCAGTAAACGGCTGAGTCACCTGGGCTGCCCCAGAAGGCATTTCTAATCCCCAAACACAAACAGCCAGGCAATATGTGCCAATTGTTATCAAACTTACCAAAACACACAGTTCCGTGGCCACGTTTTTCATCAAGTGTTACTTCCCAAACGCTTTGTGGTGCACATATACAATTGACATTGGCCCTCTTACTGCGATGGAATGTTTGGTCATGCTGATGGGGCATAAGCTTGATCATCAGCCTCTCACTGGCCTTCTAGGTTGTTTCTGGTTATTTGCTTTGTAAATACAATGGTTTCAAGAACTTTGTCCAAAGTTGTAATCTGTTTTTCTAGTTTTGAGTTAATTCCTTGAGATACACCCTAAGGATTGAAATAATGGGCTCAAATATCATGGCATTTTAATGGCTATAGACACATATGGCCCTGCTATCCTCAGAAAGGATGAGAATACTTTAAAAAGCCACATTGACATACCACTCACCATGAACCAGGCACATCTGTCATAAGTGCTTCACATATATTTGCTCGACCAACGGGAGAGGGGGGAGGCGTCACTGTCATCCCATGTTACAGACAAGGACCTAGGCACAAAGAGACAAAGCACTTGCTCAGGGCCACCACTCTGGCGAGTGGCCGAGCCACGGTGTAGACTGGCAGCAGGCTCCGAGGCCCAAGCTGGCCGATGGTGTCAAGTGCAAGGGACAGGTGCTCCTGGAGCCTCGGCGGCCCGGCCTTGCCCCACCAGCCTCCGCTTCTCTTAACAGGAATAAACCTCCATCTCTCTGGTCTTCTCCAGTCTGTATTAAACCATGAGCATCATTGAACGTCGTTATATTTGCTTGCTAGTTCTTTTTTTTTTTAAGATTTTATTTATTTATTCATAGAGGCAGAGAGAGAGGCAGAGACACAGGCAGAGGGAGAAGCAGGCATCATACAAAGAGCCTGATGTGGGACTCGATCCAGGGTCTCCAGGATCACGCCCTGGGCTGCAGGCGGCGCTAAACCACTGCACCACTGGGGCTGCCCTGCTTGCTAGTTCTATTCCATAAGCTCCTGCTTTAAGACCAGGAACAAGTAGTACCCTGCTTATACAATATTTTTTTTAACCTATATTCAATTTGCCAACATATAGTATATCATTAGTTTCAGAGATAGTGTTCAGTAATTCATCAGTTTCATATAACACCCAGCGCTCATCACATTGCGTGCCCGACTTCACACTCATCACCCCATTACCCCATCCCCCACCACCTCCCCTCCCGTGACCCTCACTTTCTCCTAGAGTTGAGTCTCTCATGGTTTGTCTTATACAACATTTAAAAGATATTTTAGGGCTGGCTGGCTGGCTCAGTTGGTAGAGTGTGTGACGATCTCGGGATTGTGAGTACAAGCCCCATGCTAGGTGCAGAGACTGCTTAAATAAATAAATTTAGGGAAAAAATTTTAGAAAAAATAAAAAGAAATAGAAGATACTTTAAGTTCATATATGGCCAAGTCAGGACAGAGAGGAAATAGAAACAGGTAAAGAAAGAGAAAGGGGCAGGCAGCCCAGGTCACTCAGTGGCTCAGTGATTTAACGCTGCCTTCGGCCTGGGGTGTAATCCTGGAGACTCAGGATCAAGTCCCAAATCGGGATCCCTGCATGGAGCCTGCTTCTCCCTCTGCCTGTGTCTCTGCCTCTCTCTGTGTCTCTCATGAATAAATAAAATCTTTAAAAAAAAAGAGAGAGAGAGAAAGGGGCAACGGGGCAGCTCTGTTGGTTAAGTGTCCAACTCTTGATTTAAGCTCAGGACTTGATATCAGGGATCAGGAGTTCAAGCCCCGTGTTGGACTCCATGCTGGGTGTGGAGCCTCCCATCCCTACTTAAAAAGGAGAGAGAGAGAGAGAGAGAAACAAAAAAGAGAGCTCTTCAGAATGCTTTGAAGAAAGGGAATAATACTTCCAGGCTAGGCATTGCCTACCTCATTTACTGTTAGAAAGAGAAGTTATTTCTATGATGCAACCCCTCCACCCCGCCACACACACACACACACACACACACACACACACACACTTGGGATGAGAGCTGGGACTTCCATGTGAAGTGTTCCTACTGCAGCTAATCAATACTCTCTGTTCCCCCTTCTGCTGTCCCATCCTACAGCTCTGGCCCCCGCCAGTCAGGCTGCTCGATGTCTCCTGATCCCCAGGACGCGGAGTGCAGATCTCAGTGGCTGGGATCCGGCATTGGGCCAGAGGTTTTCCTCCAAAAGAACAGATGAGACCCAAACAGTGCAGTTCCCACAGACCACTGCCAGGTCCTCAGAGATGAAGCCATTGGCCGGGTCCGTGGGCTTCCAGTTGGGGTTTCCAGGTCCCCAAGCACCAGATGTCCTGAGTCATGAGGAACAGCAAAGCCCATGTGTCAGGACCTGTGCCATCTATCCCATCCCATTCAGCCCCATTCAGGTCTCCTGCTCACTCTCTGTGGGCTGATGGAGAAGTTCTCCTGCCTGCGGGACCAGGTGCTGCCAAGAGCCCCCCACCGCCCCACCTCCCAGGCCGACCAGCAGCAGCTGCCTAAATCCCCCCTCGGGCTCCCATGCCATCCCTCCCTCCTGGATCTCCCCTCCAGTCCTGGGGGTTGTCTCCAGCAATGCA